GTCAGTGGGAGGGGTGTAGAATCAGTTGGGTAAAAAATTGTGTAGGATCGATTGGGAGTCAAAACAAAAAATGTGTTTAGTCCAATTAACGGAAAAAAGACTGAGTTTTTCCTTATTTTGTGGAATCCTTAGGGGGGGGGGGTGAGTGGGGAGTTTTATGTGTGTAGGGGGAGGAATACCCCACACAAACAAATATATAATATAGAAAGGTAAATGTACATTAGGGTGTCCGTTATTTACTAAATTTAACTTTTTAATCATCCACTCTTTAAAAACTATTCGTTGTACACTACAGTAAAAATATATAGCCCAAAATCCAAAAAAGTTTGAGTTAAGACCTACCCCTAGACACATTTCGATTTCCAGTTTAAATAATATAGGACTCCTAAATTTCAAATTGGTTCAACTTTTTTGGAAACTTTAAGTATTTTTTTTTTTTATTTTTAAATATTGTTATTTAAATTTTATATGATTTTGACTTTATAACTCAATTTTTTCTAGTTCAAAATAAGCAAGTTAAAAAAAATTTGATTTTGGCCTCTAAAGCCTTCGTAGAACAAAAAATCCAGGTGATCAAATTTTCTCAACTTGCTTATTTTGTACTGGAAAAAATCATGTACGGAGTCCAAGTTGTATAAAATCAAATGATTATATTAGAAAATATAGAAAAAATACTCAAAGTTTTCAAAAAAATTAAACAAACTTGGGCTGAGGTGGGGGGGGGTCTGGACTAAGCTAAGCCGAAAGGGGGAAAAAACGTCGGAATTTGACCTTATTTTGTGGGGGGTCCATGGGGGTCTGTAGAAGTGTTCGGGAAGGCTGTGGGGGGGCTGTGTATCATTTGCGTGGAATGTCCCATACAAACAACTATATCAAATAGGTAGATATATATAGAAACATATGATGTAAATGTAAGTCAGTCATTGGAATGCCGTTGGATATACCATCACTGTTCTGTACATATCACTCGTTCGGACCTGACACCACAACGGCGAGTCAATATTTAAAAAGAAAGCATGTTGGTACTAGAAAATAAGCCTTGTAGCCAAACAGCTGATTTCTGACAAATGGAAATCATATTTATGTATTTTATAAGAACGATTCTATAAGTCTTACCCTTTACTTAACAATAACATTTCTCCCCACTTATTGTATTTAAACGATGGTTCTGAACACCATAGTATTTTAGTTAATATTAATAATACAAAATATTAAAAACATACAATTCTTATGATAAAATTTTTATATTATTACGTCATTTAGGTATTTTGCATAAATATTTTGGTTAAGATAAGTAATCTTGGAAGCATATTATATGGCAATTTTTGATAATTTTGTATTTTATTATATACAAGGACTTTGAATCTTAAGTTACGCCTTCAAATATAATTTTTTTTTTTCAGATAACAGTAGACCTCTTACTCTTTAGTTTCATCATAACGTAAAGTATGTACAGTATTACTGGTAAAAAAAAATGACAACAAAATGACAGAACTTATCAATATTTTCACGATTCACTTTGCAGACGATGAACCAATATAAAACATGCATGTAGACAACGATTGGGCCAATATATACACTATTTGTGCTGTATAGCGTGTATCTAAAAAAAAAAAAAAAAAATTATCTGTATTTTGCGTATTCATGCAAAGGCCTGCACGTGTAAGCCGGTTTATGGAGCTCGCCAATTGAGTTGAGACCGGCGAATCGAGAAGAGCTTGTTTCTACAATCTCTTCTGTCTCCATCTTCTTTTATATTTCGAATATTTATGTGTATGTGGTAGTAAATAAAATTAAATTAAGAAATAATGTCAACTGCGTTTGAAAGTAAGTACAATTTTGTTATTGACAATATTTGCCACTCACCATCTTTACATGCATGTTTTCGTGCATGTTGTTTTTATCTTATGCTCTGATGTACAGGCGTGTCAATATCACGCATCACGCTACTAATCGCTGTGTTAAATATACTTATGTAAATATCGAGTCACTTACACGTGCATCCATTTAATGTTTATCTTTCGGTAGTGGTTTCTTTTTTACATTGCCGCCTCGATGGGCGTATCTGTTTGTCTTGGGCAATTTTCTTTTATCTTAAGCTGACAGAGTAATGCAGTTTCAACATTGCACTCCTAAAGTAATTGAAGCGGACTAATATAATCATTAGTTTAGGATTAAATACATTTTTAATGTACTGTCATTACACATCAAGATTAATCACAACTATTTGTCTCAGGTAATGTTTATTGCCAACTTTTCGTAACAAAAATTTGTATGTGATTGGTTGATTGGTGAGACATTTAGATTAATCATTCTTAGAACAAATTATTCGTACGATGATAAGAATCAGCACTAGCATTTAGCAGGCTACATCTAAAAACATTAAGTGTAACTTTTACTTGCATCGGTATATTTGATACTAAACTGTTATTAAAAAAATTAATAATAAATAATTGTACTACTCTGAACCGCTAAAAAAATGACAGGTAGAAAAAAAGAGAGAGAGAGAGAGAGTTGATCGCGTAAAATCGCCCTACCTTCTCTCCCTCTCTCGTTGCTATGCAAACGAGTATGCAAAACAATTTTGCGATGGTCAGTCTCGTCACTCGTGTGGCACCGCAAAGGAATACGGCAGAGAAAGAAATTTTATTGCAAAGAGCGTATCTCTATCTGATTTAGATTTTTATTGCAATGATTCATTTATAAGTTAGACACGTGCACGTGCTCGGAAGCATGGTCAATGGCCTATGACTTATTGCTAATAATCTTTTTATTTACTTTCAAGAACTAGAAAAAAGCATCTGACCCAGATTATATCAAAGCAAGTTATTTTGTTCATCTATAATGAGCTAACATTCGTTGTGCTTATCTTAATTCTTTGTTATATTAAAGATCTGTTTCTTAACGGATAATAGTGTTGTAAACGTTCGTTGTACGTATATAAAAATAAGTATAAAGTGAAATACAAGACGATCTCACTTACGAAGAAATCTCGGCACAAAACAGTAGCGTCTTATTTTTTCATACATTTACCTCAAAAAAAATTGTTACCGGCTCAATAACAACCTTATTGAGTGTAAAAAACTAAACATTATGCTATCATTATTTAATAAAAGTAACAAGTATATGACGAATAACCGTTATCGACCCATCTGATATTTTTCAATGATTGTTAATTTAAGCTACAGTGAATAGAATACATTTTACATAAAAGCCGTTTGGGTGATAAAATCAAATAATTTTTGAGTATTTCTTACACTCAGAGAAATTTTTTATAAATTTTATCGTAAATGCCCATAAAAATTACCGTGTGGAACGGTAAACGTAGGACTAGGTCGTTACTCCGACTTTTTACCTGACCTTAACAATTTTTACCGTTACGCCCAGTAAAAATCATCGGGCGCCCAACAAAAATTCCCCTTACGACTCACGAGCGAATGTTCACTGTAGGTAAAACAGAGACCAATAAAATTATTATAGTATTATACATTCTTTATTATAGTATATACATTCTTTAAAAATATTATGTATATCGGACAGTCCGCTTGGAATGTCAAATCAGTTTAGCTTAAAAATCTTTAAATAAATGTAATTGATACATTTCAGTTATTGTAAAGAAATACGAGTATTTATTTGAAATGGTACAATGTCCAACTGGTTACATTAGTAAAAAAAACAAAAAAGAAAAAAAAGAGTACAGTGGTAGCGTACTACAATCAAGTAGTTAAAAAAAAAAACATTTTTTGTCGCATCTTGTACTGACAACAAATACGTTAACTGTGGTCTCTGTCTTACCTACAGTGAACATTCGCTCGTAAGTCGTGAGGGGAATTTTTGTTAAGCGCCCGATGATTTTTACTGGGCGTAACGGTAAAAAATGTTAAGGTTAGGTAAAAAGTCCGCAGTAACGATCTAGTCCTACGTTTACCGTTCCACACGGTAATTTTTATGGGCATTTACGATAAAATTTATAAAAAATTTCTCTGAGTGTACCCGGTTGGATTCTAGGTGACATTCCAATTTGTACAGTGGGCGTAGTAAGGTGGTATGTTTGGGTGTTAGAAAAGTATGTGTAGAATTAAAAACTTATTACTATCAAAAACTAAAAATTTTTATCAACAATAACGAAATAAAGTTGGTAAGAGAGGAAAAAAAAATTTTTACGCCACTATTTTCGCACAATCTCACCACGGTCACTGAAATTTTTATAAAACTACTAACTCCAGACGTCAATTTATATCGAAAAACTTTGTAGGTAGTAAAAATGAGTATATCATTTGTCTTAACAAAGTGGTGACGTGATATAAAAATTGTTAATATTATAATTTAAACACCGTAGACTTGTTATGTTACAGACCTAAGCATTAAAATGATGATTTTAATTTAAAAATCAAGTGCTAAATTTGTATAAATTCAAGACTTTCTAATCGTTTCATCTTTGCTGATTTTATTGGTATCATAAAAATCAGATGTTGGCAACTTGGTTACTGGATTATGTAAAAGTAGACGTAGAAAAAAATTATCATCTTTTGTAGTTATCTTTTTTATTTCAAACTCTTTTCTTCCTTTCAATAAATAATCCATTTTTTTTATCAATGGTAGTCCTATGGAGTAAAATGTGGTTTGGACATCTAATTATTATAAAAATGTTTAGCGAATAAGTTTCATTAGATACATACGCCATTAGAACCCTTTGCATGGTATGGTATTAAATGATCAAGCCACCTTGAAGATAAGAAATTCTGAAAAATTTGAAATGGTACTATTTTTTGTTTTTAATTATATTTTTTAATTTCTAATAAGCAAGTAACAAGTGCTTTTAAATTAAAACAACAATTCTTTTTTTTATCATAAATTTCTTTTAATAGCAGAGATTTTCATCCTACCTTTTCTCTAAATTCAACATAAAAATAAAAAAATATCCAGTTCAACTTTAAAAACCTTTTTCTCCAGTTAGCACCTGCATATCTGCAACATTGCGTCGTTGTAACGACATCTGATAAAAAAATAAGAACCTGATCAATATGCAATGACAAGTTATGTGTACTTGACTCTTACCAGTTTGTAAATTTTAAATACCACGGACATACTCGACATTCACGTTTGTTCTGTTGCAGAGACCGAATCATGCTACGTCGGTCCGGGTTACCCGAGTCCGCAGCATGCAATGATTTATGGGCCCCGCGAGAACATAATTTACATAAACTGCATACACACCGACCCACTCAAGCCAGACGTCTTAGCTACGGTTGATGTTGACCCCGATAGTCCAACTTACTGCCAGGTGGGTTATTATTTTTCCAATTAGCATGATGCTTTTGCTTTCAGTTTATTGTTTTATGTTGTCAAATCGTTTCGCGTTGCCTTCTAAGAACCGGTGGTATGAAAAGAGAAGTAGTAATTTCCGTACCTCGTAGTGCAGGGCAAGCACCAGGTTCGAGGAATCTGCAAAGCAGAGCACGAAGGACACCTTATGCTTGCCTAATTGCATGTACACTAAGTGCGATCTCTATTTTTCCTACTAAAGATGTTGCGTTGAAATCATACACGTCATGAGCCAATCGCATAGGGTAAAAAAAAAGGGGGGGTAGGGACATCTTCACCACTACGATGCGTTTGCTCCATGATTTTTTTCTCCGTGTAGTTCTAAGATTCTAATTGACAAAGTCTAAATTTCCAACAGTTTTCAACATTTAAAATTTACGATAAAATAAAATCGTCCTTACATATAAGAATAGTTCATACACATTTTCAAACAGTTTTTGAGGTAGTTTAAAATTATTTTGCTCTGTTTTGGGTTGAAATATTATTTCGACAGATAAGATAATTTTGGTCACCTTTAAACGATTGTTACGCTCTTGGTACGAACAACATTCGCCAAATAAACACCGTAAAACTAGAAATACGTAGCAATCTACACTACAATGGCGCTATTTTATTAACTAAAACTATTTTATTGGTTTCCTTAAATTTTCTGGAAATTCGGAGCATATGCGTCAAGTATCTGTAACTTCTGTACTTGGTACTTAGTTGTCAAACGTCCATTTTTGCAAGTATGGAAAAAAAATGAAATTTTCTACAGGTTTTGAGTAGTTACGGCGAAATCGTCCATATCTGATTAATGTCATAATTTTTCTTTTTTCTTCCACTGTAGATTATCCACAAGCTTCGAATGCGTGAAGTAGGTGATGAGCTACACCACAGTGGCTGGAATATCTGCAGCAGCTGTCATGGTCAGCCTGAGAGGCGTGACACCCTAGTGTTGCCCTGTCTTATGTCAGACAGGGTTTATTTTATCGACGTTTCCGATGAGAGGAAACCCAAAATCAAAAAGGTGTGTAAACAGGTTTCATTTATTCGTATTTAAATATACAAATACTATTTAGTTTTAAAGTATTTGTATTATAGTATTATTCAAAACTGCAGTGCGTAAGATAAAAATACTAAGAAATTAGCACTGTTACTTTAAAATAAAAGCAGTATAATAGATGTAAGTGAAAGTGCAAAGTTAAGAATGCTGAATAATAACTTCAAAAAACATTGTCTGCTATCTAAGACTGAAAATTATTATCATAAGAGATGAGAGTATACAAACATAAAAATCATAATTATAATCATGTTAATAAAAATTTAAGAAAACACTTAGAAATTTAATTATTGAGAACTAAAGTCAAACATGTTTGACGATATCAATACAAAGATAGCATAACGTGGAAGTAGGCAGTACTTCCCAGGGGTCGTCCACAGCGCCGTCTTGCTCAGGCTCCAGCTTAATCGCTGGCAGCTATCGAGATTAGGATATTTTCCCAGCTGGAATAGTGGAAATTTTCTGGGTGCCGTGTCTAATTCACTACTTCCGGACGGTCGACCTCTTCATGATCTTTTTTGTCTACGGCCACGTTGAGTTATAACTTTTTGAACTTCTTGGTTATATTTTAAAGTCTGTTAACCTTTGCAACCACTGCAGACTTTTTGACGGTACGGGCAACTTTTCACTTCCTTCCGCTTCTCTTTTCTGCATTAAAACGTACTATAGATCTCCATAAACTAACGTAGAATGAATCATCAGCACTCTTTTGATTTCTAATTCTTTCGGCCTTCTTAAGCGTCGATATTTTTTTGACCTTTTTCGTTTACGACTTCTGTATTTTTTTTTCTTGTATCGTTTATTTTTAAGCGACTTTTCGATATCTTTTGGTGGTTGTTGTTGTTTTTTTCTTGGCTCTGGTAGTATGATAACCTTTATTAGACGTTTGAGTGTGTGAGTAGTAATACTGCGCTTGAGGTCGTCAACGTACTGTTAAACTATCTTGGCTATAAATTCTGACCGTCCTTCAATTAATATGCTTCCAAAGTCCGGGATGATTTCCATCAGAAGAACTTTAAACTTCTTTATCTCAAGTTTCACCCTTGGCAATGCTTCCACCCCTTTTTCCAATTTAAGATTCACGTCGGGTTTCATTTCAGCTGATTCCACGTCTTCTTCTTGTTTAAATTGTTGGTCAATGAGTCTTAAGGACCGGGCTTTTTACAGTTTTCTAAAGGGATTAAGTACTTTGGACTTTTTAACTTTAATTCCGAAAGTTCTGAAAAGAACGTGAAAGTCTGGTTTATTTTGGTGCAACAGAAGCCAGTTGCTAAGGGCATTATCTGGGTCATATAATAAATACTTGAGGAGATACGAGCCAAGGCTTAATATTTTACCTAATTTAGTGACGTTTTCAAGAATGCGCTGTATAAATTTTTCCTGCTTGCAGATTAATCCCAGTGAGGATTTCCTTACAGTTCTGTCAACTTTGGTGCCCGAGGCCGTGCTTTTGAAAAACGTAGCCAATAGTTTTTTTCTTCAACTTTTACAAAGTCCCTTCCTCCGTCGTCACCCATTTTTGCAAATCATCTCATCCCTGCTCATATTTCTATTCGCGTCGCAGTGTTCTTTTCTTTTTTCGATACTTTTTTCTCCTGATCAATATTCTTTTGTGCTATACTTTATTGTTTTTCGACAGCTTCTAGGCGACGCACGACGTATCTGCTTTATTTGAACCTGATTCTGTTGAACATGCTCTACCAACTGCACTTCCGGTGTATCATACTGCAACATTGCAGGAAATAGGAACTGCTGGAATGGCTGTTGGTATCTTGTTGTGCTTCAATTGTGCTACTCTGTACGTCAAAGGCAAACAGTTTGCTCCGTTCATTTATGTTCTTTGCTTCAGGTACAGGTGACAATTTAAAATTGTTCTTTAATTCCCTTAGCTTCTAAAATTTTGGAATAGGAGGTGTTTCAAGTGTGTTTACGTGTCTTTGGACTAGGAGAATATCCCCATCAGATACTAATTCGGGAGTACCTGGTGCTGCGGAACAGCTTTGCTTTTAGCGTTTTGCCGGTACGAAATCGTCATCTTGAGTGACGTTCTTTTCAGCTTGATTATCAAGAGTGCTGAAAAGACTGCCAGAGATATAGTACGGCTCTTTTGGAGTCGACAATTTACAACCCTTTGGAGTCAGAAGTCTTTCCAAAGCGTATGTGCCACTCCTTTTTGTCAAATTTTGATCGCCGGAAGAATAAGGTAGTGATGGGTCTAATGAACTTTCATCGTCGCAAGATGACAATATACACACGCTAAATAAGTATGTTTGAATACTGTCATCGCCATCAACATCCTTTTTCGCACTAAGACTGAGAAGCACTGTACTTAGATAATGTATTTGTGCGAAAGAAAGAGACACGTGGGGAAATACAACATTTTTATAACTATTAATATAAATGACGCAAATAACTCACCTCCATATATATATATACATATATAGACATATATCTTATGTCACTATAAGATATCCCGTTGAAAGTCAAAATTCGTGAAATCAACATCGTGTTGTGGAATGACAGTCATTGTCAGATAAAATAGGTACTTTTCGTGGAATCGCATCAAAGTAAATATATTTACATGGCTTTTCTGAGTGTGACCTTGAAGCCTGAGGCTTCTGGATAGTCATCCGAAAGTGGGTTTATCCAGAAGCATGAGATAGAGAGTTCACGTAGATCATGTAGAGCACGATGGCGTCAATGCTTGCACTGTGGCCTTTTGTCTGCCGCTTCTGCATGAGTTTCTAACGTGGTAACGGTAGCTAAGAATTATACTGCGGAGCAGGAAAAACGAACATTACAGAAACAGTCAAAACGCACTTTATTATGTAATGCATAGTACGTAAACAGTCGACAAAAATCAAAATTCGTGAAATAACGGTGTGCCGTCCAATGACAGTTATGGTCAAAAAATATTAATAATATAACAAATAAAAGGGTAATGGTAGATTAGGAGATAAGGAGAAAAAAAAATCTAAAATAACTTACTGTTTTCCGAAGAGTATATATACATGGTACCTGGTAGTACTCCGAGCAATCCACAATGACGATCGTAGATGTGTGCAACTGAAGAATGCTGTGGGCAGCAAAACATAATGGCGCTTAGCTTTGTTTAACAAGTTTTTAAATTAAGCAATACTTTTGACAAATTAATTATTTATTATAATCTGGTCTTTGCACGCTCTGAACGACATTACCATTGACAAAGAGTTGTGTTAAGTAAATTAAAAATACTATATGGAATATACAAAAGGATTGAAACATAATGTAATTCGATATACCATTGATTTTACCTCATCAACTACCTTTGTTTGGATAGTTCTTATTTGTAATCGAATATATTTTTATTTAAACAGAAACTGATAAAATAGAAGTAACACAAATTGAAGTTATTATACAGTGGAGGTAAGGTGCCCACAAATATAAAAAACAACATATATCTAAGTAAAATTTGAACTTTTTCATAGGGGGGGGGGTAACAAATCCTCTTGTCCTTATTACGAAGTAATCTTAAAAAAAATTGTAAGTTAATTAAGGGGGTGTAAAGTTTTTTAACATATTTCCATTAATACAGGATTATTCTAACATTTTCTCAAAGTATTCTAAGTTTTTGTGAAGGATTGTGGGGAGTTCACTAAGGTTTAGGTGGGGGGTGTAGAGGGGTAGTGAGGGGACGTGGGGGGTTCACACAAATTTTTTTGGGTTAAATTTACAGAGAAATAAAAAGAATTTCCCCTTGTACTGTAAGAGGATTGAAGGAGGCTGTGGGGGACTGTGGAGGGACCATGGGGATGTGGATAGATGTGTGGATAGCCCCACCAAAATAACTATGTAATGTAGGAAGATATATATCAATTTGCTATTCCGATCACAAATATTAAAGGGGCTCTGATGAGATCCACACTAGATTGCTGAATTAATCACAGATGGTCCTTGTATGGCATCGTCATGGGACAAAGACTTTCATTGACTTTAGACAAATCATTAATCCTATGTCAGTGTCATGGATTAAATTCCAATTAGGACCATCAGAAAAATCTGAGTGCCCTGACCGGGAATCAAATCCATGACCCCTTGAGCTGTGATCTTTTAATAACTAGTATGCTAACCAATTGAGCTAACGACGAGCTCCAAATTTGTTGTATTGCACTCCTAGTAAAAGGAACCACATGTGTTAGTCGACTAAACTAACAGATCTGCAGAGTCGATAAAAGTTAGATCACTTGCCCAGTGTCAATTATGCGATAGTATAAAAGGAGGAAAAGATAAAATTTGTCATATTCAGTGTCAAATTTAGTTACGTAATTTTTGGATATTCCTCATCCCCCCCCCACGTAATCAATCGTAAACAAATAACATACCCCCCCCCAGGTGTTAACGTAATTAATGGACAGCCCCTACGTATCTAATTGTATAGATTCTGGAACCAGAGGAAATGCACAAGTATGGAGTGGCAACGCCACACACTTCGCATTGCGCACCCACGGGGGACATCATGATTTCGACCATGGGAAAACCGAATGGTGAGGCTCGCGGTGACTTTCTCTGCATCGACAGCAAGACGCTTGAAGACAAGGGTACTTGGGTCATGGGTGAGAGGAGAGCCAAGTTTGGCTACGATTTTTGGTATCAGCCGTATCACGACGCGCTTATTGCCACTGAATGGGGCGTGCCAAATGTGTTCAAACGAGGATTTTCTCCTGAAAACCCTGAAGATGTGGGTAAGATTTGATTGAATTTCCAACTTAAACTGATTATGATAATTACTTTTTTTCGTAAAATGAATATCTCACAGCGTAAAGTAACGGGGTACGTTTGAGAAATAATGTTTATTGTGTATAAATTTACTCAATTCCTTGAAAAATAAAACGAGTGAGCGAAATAAATACCTGTTTGGTTTCACTATTGTATTACGCAGCAAAATAAGTTTAATAATTTTTTACTAAGATTCCGCTTAATATACGGAAGGTCTTGATGATAAGGAAAATGTGATTCTGTAAGTTAAGTATGTATTTTGTATGAACCAGGGTATTGGGTTATTGCTTTAAGTAGAATTGATATAACAGGTTGACCATAAAAGCTTTAGGAAATAGCTGTCGTTACTGAATATCTTAGCTTGTACACATTACGTGTTTATTAATTTGATTTTAAAGCGCGTTTTGCAGAAAATTTCATAGTTGATTCACATTAAAAAATTTTTTCTATATACATTCTTGTAGCAGGATTATATTGTAGGTAGTTTTATCTACTAATTTTATTACAACAAGTTAAATAGCTTACTGGAACATAAATTAAGGACAAAGATTTTAAAAAACTTTCAGCTGATTACAAGGGTGCATACAATATTTCATTACATTTTATTAGATTTACCTTTCTTGCGTACTTACATTTTCTGTTTCTAATTTTGTAACTAAATAGTTAAGGAGGTTTAGGAGTATCGTTCAGAGAGGTGGGAAATGAGGGGTCCTCCGTGCCCACGCAGATGTAAACCCTTTACCGCGCACCTCCTCTTGCACTCTGCAAACTTCAAACTGTACGACTGTAATTGATTGTATTTTTAAAAAATGCCTATCGAGTCGTGATTTTTTTTGTTGAGCATCTTCCTTCTGTACTAAAGTATCTATAAAGACGTTTTTTTTTTAATTAAACACATTTGTAATGTGCCCTAATTTTTAATTAATAGGCAACTTAATTTTGTTCTCTCATAAGAGACCATGTTGAACTGTCAATATTTAAGAATTATTTTCTCGAAAATCTCCCCTGGCAAAAAATCTAAAAAAATTCATGTGCCGTCCTGATATGCTCAAATATAACATATTGTTACGTGGGATTCTCGGTGCGGAAATAAATAGAAGCGTGACTTGTTGTTACTTATGCTTTATTAGAATTACTTATCATTGAGGGAAGTTGTGCATGTATTATCGTTTCGCGGACTTCGTCCTTACCCTCTCGCGTCTCTAGCTGATCTCCCTGTCCCTTCTCTCTACCTTTCCTATCACCTCTCTTCTCTATTCCCCTACCTTTCGGGCCCAAGCCAGCAGAGACGCACGCACGCATGGCTATATGCTATCGTACGTAACACGTCCGAGGCCGCGACGCCGACGTCCTCGGCGGCGATTTTCTTTTTGATGTGTACTTATGTCTGTGTTATGTTGTTTGTGTTTTATAGCATTTTCCGGTTAGAGGAAAGAGGTCGGTTTGAAGCGCTCTATCCCTATTTCCTCTACTGGTTTAATTCGCTGTATTTTATGTGTATACATTTTTTTGTTTATTGTTTGCACGCTTCCCTTGTACAAAAAATTTATCCTAGAATTCGCTTAGTTACTTATATGATATAATCACTTAATTACAGTTTTCTTGCTTATTATTTATGTACATATGCATTATACAGGGTTATTATTATTAACTGTTTATTCTCGCATTGGATAAGAATTAATATAATTGTCAGTTTCATTTTTTTTTTTTTTTTTTTTTTTTTTTTTTGTCAAGGATGTCGAGGGTCAAGGTCTTACTGCGTTCATTAATTTTATTATTAATACATTTTTTTTCTTTGTTTTGGTTGCTTGGACAATTATTGCCCTTGTATCAGTACGCCACTTAAGTTTGTCTTGATACCTTCCTGTAAAATTATTGCTGGTTTCAATGCCAAACTATTGTCCAGTGACGTTTCGTTGGCTCTCTGATTGGTGTTCTTCCTGCCTTCAATCTTGTAAATCTTAAGTCTGGTTTCTTTGATGTGTGAAAATGTTTGAGTGGTTCATGGTCAGTTATGACTGTAAATTAACGACCGAACAAATATGGCCTGAACTGCTCCTTGGCGTACACTATTGCCAATAATTCCTTGTTGTATGTCAGATATCGTAATTCACTGCCTTTCAAGCCCTTTTTTACACATTATATTTTTCTGGCCTCTTGTTAAATTCTTATTTTTATATTTTTCGTGTACAAAATGCTTATTCTAATTTTCCTATTAAATATAACATGGTTTTTTTTTTTTTTTCTTGCATTAGTGGACTCTAAAGGATGTGTTGATTGCATACGCGATTCAATCATACATGAAATGTGTTTTTTTTTCGTTCGATGTCAATTTAAAATATTTCTCAGCTATAATACATGTTTGTTTTTTTTTTTGATTGGTGGCCATGTACGTTGTTGGAAGAGAAATTTATAGGAAATTCGTAGGTGTTTTGGCGGTAATTTGTTGGTTTTTTTTTTTTTTTCTTAGATTAGTGGACTATGAAGGATGTGTTGATTGCATACGCGATTCAATCATATATGGAATGTGTTTTTTTTTTTCGTCCGATGTCAATATAAAATATTTCTCAGCTATAATACATGTTTGTTTTTTTCTTTGATTGGTGGCCATGTACGTTGTTGGAAGGGAAATTTATAGGAAATTCGTTGGTATTTTGGCGGTAATTTGTTGGTTTTTTTTTTTTTTTTTT